TTAGTGAGGGGTGGTTTGTCTTGATTTCAAAAAGCCGTCAAATGGGTATGAATACTTCTTTTTCTCCTTTTTTCCCTTTTGCTTAATATTTAGAATTTTGCTTATTCCTGACACTAGAATGAATGTAAAAGTCAGGAAAAATAATAGTTTGTTCAAGCGTTTAATATTTCGCGAGCAGTGACGACTAAAATATGGGCAATTTTCAATTGATAATAAATGCAAACTTATTGAAAACGGTGGTCCATGATTTATGCACTGTAAAAAAATCATTTTAATGAATTTCAAGAAAACAAAGCCATTTTCGTTACTTACTAGTAATTACGTTTCTATAGTAAAAGTTTGAGGGAAAACTATTTTCTGACCCGAAATGCAGCGGGCCGCTTTTACGGAGACTGCCTCTTAAATGTGATTTCAATCAGCTAAAGATATTTCAGATAGTTAAATCTTTTTTTTCTTCTGATGTAACTAATTAGCATATGTAGACACATGCCTCCTATTTTCCAGTCCAGTCCAATGAACAAAAAAGAGTGTTACAAAAAGTTCCAAAATTGATGGTTTATTTTGTACACGAGCTCTGTTGAAAGTTTAGCCATTTTCACTCATCTTGAGCGTCTCTTGCTTGGGGCTTCGGTCGAACTTCTTCCGTGGCCGTTTTCGCGAAGCTAAAATAATATTTTCAAAAACTAACTATCCAGAGATTCATATCTAATGATGGCCTATCTAACTTCAAAAGAAAAGCGAATTTGATTTTTTGAACCTTGCCTCCAAATTTCAAAATTCTTTCAACACATCGTGCTTCAAACCGAAAAAAACCTCATGTAGAATGTATGTGGAACCCGAAAGCCTTAATACTACCTTGCCTCCATTTGTTTGATTCTTGTGGACATTGCCTCCTCTTAAATGCCCATACAGGCAACGGACGAATAGGTATTGTCATTGCGTACATTTTGCAAGCACATTTCCACTTCACACTTCAGGTACATTTGATTGACTCCGACGAAGGACAAACGTCCGAAACGTCAGTTCCTATTTTCACTACGGTGTAAAACTAATCAATCTACGATAACTACTTCAGGTACATTAGTTCATTCTGAAAATTTCGAATTTCTTATAACTAAACAAGGTTATTTAATACTTGTTAGATAAGGCTCACCTACCTTGGATCTGTTGACACAATTTTAACAGTACGCACATATCGTATGCGCTCAGCTGCCGTCATTGAGGTGAACTCCTTACGTATTCGGGTACAGTTGACCAAGGTACGCGATGAGGAACAGATACATAACTGATCACATCGGTCCTTAACAGACTTACCAACTTGACATCCTAATGTTACATTAGTAAAAAGGGTCAATATACGAACATTGTATAAAGCCATGAAAAAATCTTAGTGAAAATGATACGATATCACTTACCGGTAAACTGTTAAATTTTGTTAGTGTACTATATTACGTAATATCTACGTGTTGGCGTTCGCGATATAATCATGGATACGCGTGAATAAAAACGGCATAAGCTCTTGACATGTGTTAACCTCTATATACTTTATGATTTCTTACTATAACATTGAGGAAATTTATTTTCGCTTTTCGTTTCAAACCGCCGAGCTTGGTATTTCTCCCCTCGACATTCAATACCTGAAACATTTGTAGGAGGAGAGGCTTGCCCTGAAAGGTAATACAAGTTGTCAAAAAAGTTG